CTGTAAAAAATTTTCAGATTTATTTTAAAGGAACGATAATTTCTGAAAAAGATGATACTTTTGAAATCTATCGCTAAACTATAGTTAAATTTGGCAAATATTATTTCGAGCACATAGATGTCACGTTAAAATTTGTTCATTAAAATAAAAACTTCCTCTACTTCTGCAGTGAAACTGTTCAAATTTATTTTCTTGCAATATTCTCAAGTTTCAAGGTTTCTTTTTTAATGTTACGTGTATTTGGTATTATTCTTTCAAAGTGACGTTACATGGGAATAATTGAAAGCGACTATTCGATTACATTGCACAGAGACGGCTCGATATCTCGAAGCCATTCGCTACGTTAATGGACTTACACCAATGCAACTATATGCGCCCTGTAGAGCTTATGGCACTCGGTAGAAATTATCAAGCAATGCCATCGATGTTGGTACTATTAGCTCGACGCACGACGTCGTTAACTAAGCAATTAATAACAGCGGAAGAATTACGTTTGATCATGACTAAGAGTACTATCTGAAACCATACCGCAACGTTGAAATAATAACATTGACGACGAGTATAAAAAGAGCTGCAAAAATTAACAGATAAAAAACATGGAATTTTTAGTAGAAAATTAAAATTGGCTTTTTCATTTAAACGGCCAAAGAAAAATGAATAAAAGTGGATAAAGTTAAATAAAGATAACGAAAAACTTGATTATTCAAGGTAATTAAAGTTGATACAAGAAATGAAAATGAAATGTAAAGCGAGACTATATTTAACGTTGTACATTTTTCTGTCCAATTTATTCCAGACTTGCAATCAAAACAGAGATCTAAATTGAGAACGAGTAATAAAGATAAATTTGTAAAAATTGCAATTTTAAAAGAATATAAAGAAATTGTTAAAGTTGGATATTTCTGACTTCCCTGAAATTAAACTCGGGACCAAGCACTTGCAGCTTATCGTGTTAAAAAGAAACATACGGAGGGGAATTTCTTCGACAACTTAAATTAGGTACTCGTAAAAGTGTTCAGAGCTTCCTGTCTGTAAGGAAAGTTAAGATTACTGAATTTATGATAGCATTGTGTAATATACCTACGCGACGTGATTCATAACTGAAATTATGTCACAAAGAAAAATAAAAGCAGTAAACAAAAAGTTCAAGAAACTATCAGGATTATTAAAATTACATAACATTGCTGAATCGCCATAAATGAAATTTCTACAACAAAAAATTTCTATATCACACACTTTCAGTTTAAAGTAAAGAAAAATCAAATTCTCCAAGTTTTTCAAAATTAAAAAAAAAAAAAAGATTCACTCCCATCAACACTTATTTCCATATGAAACACTTTCACTTCCAAGTAAACCAAAAATCAAATCCCTCAATGTCTTGAAAGCTCCATACAAAAAGAGAAAAGATTCATATTTCCATATCACATACCTTCACTCTCCATTGAAATAAAAAAAAATTAAATCCTCAATCTCCTAAAAAATAGAAAAAGGATTCATATTTTTATACCAAACACTTTCACTTCCAATTTCTACAATCTTCAATTTAAAAAAGGAAGATTCGTACTTCTATACTGAACACTTTCATTTCCAACTGAAACCAAAAAATATCCAATCTCCCAATTCCCTCAAAACTCCAAATGAAAGAGGAATATTCACATTTCTATGACACACTTTCACTCCCAATTAATATTATAAAATTCAAATCCCCAATTTCGTCAAAACTCCAGGTAAAAGAAGAATAATCACATTTCCATTCGAAATACTTTCACTCTCGATTAAAATCAAAAACACTCAACTTTTTCAATCTCCACGAACCTCCAAATCAAAGGAAAGAAAAAAAAAAGAAAGATCTGCACACATTACCGTTCGAAACCTCACGCAAACTTCCATTCACCCGGCATACAGTCTACTTCCGGTTGCACAACCTAGTCCCCCCTCTCTACCCAACAACACACTCCACCAGAAACTTTTATTTTTAACCAAGCAACGCGCTTGTTGCAACACGTAACGCACCTTTCCACCGACGATGCTCAGCCCCAAGCTAGTTTTCGGCTCCCTGAAGATCTCCACCAGCCTCTCTGGTCCCCAGTGCTTGGACCAGCTCATGTTCCCATCATGATCCCGATGCGTGACCGTCATGTCTGCCCGTTCTGCGTCGACGAACACCAGAGTAGGAAGCTTCGTAGGCGAGGCACAGCCCGACGAGCCTGAGCTCTCTGTCCTCTTAGCTGCTTGCAACTGGCTACTCCCTTGTGCCTCTAGAAGCTCGTCATCGCTGCACTGGATCGCCTTGGACTCCTGGTACGTTTGAACCTCAACCTCCCTCTTTGTACTTCGATACGGCCTCTCCTGATCCGATAACTGAGCTACGCTGTCGTTAGACTTATCAGGACTCGTCGAAAGATCCCCGGGAATACACTGAATGCTCTTCGACTCCTTCACGTAGCTCTTCTCTGATCTGGATGGGCTGTCAAACGAATCCTCGAAGTTTGAAGTCCTTGATAGACTACCTAAATCGTCCAAACAACACTGGACACTCTTGCTCTCTCCTTGAGTCTGTGTCTGGACCTCTCTACGAGGACTCTGATAAAGTTTTCTCGCTAAATGCAGAGGACTGTGTTTGTAGATCTCTGAGGGACTAACGATGCTTTGTTCTGGACTGCACTGAGTACTCTTCGTCTCTTGTTCAGTCTGTGTTTCAGCGTCGCGTTTCTCTTTTGGCGAGTACTGGGTCTCCTTGAAGCTACGCTCCGCTTCCTCGACGCTTCTGTCCAACTGTTCGCTCGACCAGTTGTCTGGTCCTGATTTTAAAAGATTCTCTAACGATGTGGAGAGCAACAGATGCTCTGCAGACGGTTGACTCTCTAGAGTTTGGCTCTGATACTCGAGAGAATGTTCTTTGCTGATCAAACTGCTGTCCTCTTCTGATCGAAACAGGACTGTCTCCTCCAGTAGTGGACGCCTTTGCTCCCAAAGTGTCCTGTCATAATCTCGAGTCTCTGGTATTCCCTCTGGCTCCTCTCGCTCCTCGTCTCTGTGGAGTCGCTTCCGGTCGTCACGTGGTAAAGCCTCGAGGACCTTTCTCGAAGGAAGCTCGACTTCCTGGTCCGCGACTAGCCTCGAACCAGCCTCTGGGTCCCTTGGCCTTCGAGAAGAAGGAAACACGAGTGAGAAAAAGAATAATGAGGAAAAATAGTGGCGTGGAGGGAGGGAAGGTCTAATGAAGCGACTGCTTCTGGCTGCTTAATGAGCGAGGGCTTCTTGCTCGCCACGAGAAACCGGAGGAATTCGTTAAAGCGTGAAACACAAGGGTCTTCTTCGTGGTGACCCATTAATTCCGCGGCTGTGGGCTGAGTGAATGGATTGTACGGTCGACTGGAGGAATGGAATGCAGGATTTTACTTAATGGTTTTAAGTGGATGTTGCGTGGTTATCGGCAGTGGGGCGGGGGTGGGTGCAATGATTCGATGTTGTATTAACCGTAAGAAATGCAAAGAAAGGTGAAAAGAATACCCAGATATTTTTGAAGCACGTTTAGTTTTTTTTTTCATGAAATAACTTCTGTGGGTCGCCAGTGATTTGTTTTTGTATCAGAAAGTACTTAATTGTGATTAACCCTGAATTATAAATTTTTGAGACATTGTGCCCCATGTAATTAAAATAATATTTCGATTTTTTGTTACTAACATTAATTGTTTATTTTAAGTTCAAAACAAATTAACAAATACACATTTATTGAATCTAATGGTATATTTAATGCAAAAATATAAAAGGAAAAGTATATATTATGGAAAATAGGTATAGGATACTGTATTCCACATATTAGTGTTCTATGGCTGCAGGCAAATAAATTAGATATGTTCGTATTTTTTTCCATTTCAAATTAAAGTAAACCTTCAAACAGCTTGGACTTCCTATGGTTAACTGTGGGAGTGAGAGGGGAATAAGTAGTGAAAAAGAGTGAAAGAAAATGGATACACAGTGTAATTCACATAACGTGAAAATTGACATGTAACACATGAAAACTGATATACAGGGTGTATAAAGCAAAATATGCAAGGCAAATTATTTCTTTTTTACATTGTTTACACGTAGGCTTTTGAACGTCACCTTGATTATTTTAAAAGGAAGACCCTGTATTTCATTTTTTTTTTTTCACACAGCTAATAATTTATGAGTAATTTCAAGTCATCGAGTTAGGTGTATCACCCTGTATAATAGAGTAATGGAGAGATGAATGAGAATCGAGTTAATTGGGAGCAACGTGTCTGTTGATGCATGTTTGTACAGTCTGTTCTGCAAAATGTAGAATGTGATTTGTTGCGTACATGTGCGGTCTTTGCGAATTTTATCAGTCTGCTATTCATATTTCACACGCCTAATTAACAACCTTATCGTTATTACAGTTTAAATAGTGGAGACTATTTAAGTAACTGAAGGAACTTTTCAGAAATCTTTTACTGTAATTTCAAACAATTGCAAGATAATATTAAACATTTGAAAATATGTCGTAATAAAATATTAACAAACAAGATGTAAGTCTTCACATTCTATACAAATGTTTGATTATTTCACTGAATATTTTGAAATAGAGAACACACGAAATGATTATTGTTTCCTTGGTTGCACGACTTGAGGAGTATGTTTCCGCTTCAGACAGCAAATTGTGGTAATGAGTTGTATAAATAGGATTGGATAAGTATAGTGGACGAGGAAAAAAGTATGCAAAAGATTTGCATACTGAGTTTGTATATCAGAATTTTATTACTGTGAGAAAATCTGTGTTTACCTGGCTAATGAGAAAATTACTCTTTCCTGTTGATTCATTAATTAGTAGAATAGTTTGAATAATTAAGAAAGAAAATTAATGCGATGTCAGATGAATTTTCCATTGTAATTCGTTAATAAATCATTATTTGTGATTTGTACCATAAACAGAAAGAAAAGAATGTATAATCTCTTCGGTAGTTACATCTAAATAAACAATAGTTCCTTGATCATCACATATACTGACATTCTGATTAAATTATCATTTCCATTAATTTGGTCAGTATTGTTTTTAATTAATGGTACATATATTTTTACACAAATTGTCAGTAAAACTGAATATTTTAGTATTCAATTATTTGGTCGGTATTAATTTGTTTTCTGATTAACAAAATTTAAATTTTTTTTAAAGTTAGGTTACGTTAGGATGTTTTATTATACACACTGACTACCTATTCGAAATACCGATTAAAAATTGTTTTAAATACCGACACAATAAATAGCAGCCTTAAATTATTTGTACAGTTAATTAGAAGTTAATTGAATACATTTTGGAATAGTGATATTCAATTTTTTGAAAGAAACAGTTATCAAAAATATAAAAGAAAGATATAAATGAATTTACATAATAAAGCGACATTTTGCAATTGCTGCTTAACCTTCTATGACAACAATGTAAAAGTTCTCCTCGGTATTACACAAAAATTGCACGACTACTACATATTGTACAAAGTGTATGCAAATGAGGCGATAAAGCTTTCCAAAGGGGGGAAAAAGTGTAACAAAATTTATGGATTAATAAAGATACAGGTTTACGTTCAGGGAATATTCTCGACCGAAGTTCTATTAAAAAGTTTCGTTAGCTGGCTGGTCTTTTTCTCCCCTCATAAATCATTGAACATGTTCGAACAGTTGTCTCTCACGTCGCTAACTACTTTTCAAATATTTTAAAGCTGGATCAGGTAATTATTGTCGGAAATAAACTTTGTTACGCAATACGCAACTTCATCTGTAACTAAATTCCTCTTAGCTCCCTTAAATTGCTCCGAAATTATCGAACTTTTCAGATATTATGCAGGGTGTCCCAGTTTCTTCCTATCAAACTTTGTCATTTGAAGCTTTACTAAAAAGTTATAAGAATAATACGAATTACTACAATACAGGACAAGAATGGCACTGACAGAAGTTACGTTCAACACCTTCAATTATCTCGGATCGTAAACGCGACTCGCATAAACAGACTAGATGTAGGTAAGTACTTCTACATATCGCTGATCTATACCTACTTTACATTATAACTGCACATCTAATACTATTTCTATCGTATTTCGTATTTTCGTTGTAACTTACGATCTACGTTCATATAACATTTCTTTCTCACTTATACCCATAGAATATACTGATAAAGTTTCATCGGAAGAAACTAGGACACCCTGTACACCAGCTAGAAACTTTCGGCATCGTACCAAATATTATTAAGTTTCACTATATTCTATTCTTTTAAAATAGTCTAATTATTTTCTCTAACTGCTGGTACCGGAACATTTTTATGTGTAATTCAAATGGTTTCGAAGGGTGAATAAGAAGGAAGACAAATTTTTTTTGATGAAAGAAATGAGAGAAAATTTTCGAGTCACTTTAAGGTTGTATGTTTAAATGCACATCGATATCTGCTCCAACATACAGATAAGAAATATAAAAAAATTTGTCTTCCATATTATTCATCCTTTGACATCATTTAAATTCCTACCAGCACAGCTAGAGAAGATAAGACCCACCCTGTATATCGTTTTATTACATTATTACGTTTTTATATTTAATTATCTCGATCAGATAGTTAATACGGCTAATATATGTCCACCTTTTTCCTCACCGTTGTTAACACCATTGTATTGTATTATTTTTTCTTCTGCAGTTATTATACTTTGTATGTCACACGTGTAAAGAATTTACACCCCATTAAATAAACAAATAAATAAATATTGAATCCATAAAGAAGCACGTAATCGGCGAAATGAGAAATTCTATCGACACGTCCAGTCATTCAAACGTCGCCTCATTAAATCTGGCGTGGTTTTAAAGCCGTTGCTGCCGTGTCGTAAATTCGCGACAAAAGAGCCGCGCGACTACTCGAATAATTCCTCGTTACGACGTCTTCCTACGACTTCGAACAGCCGATTCACACGAATACGACCGCTTAAATGTCGTCACGGATGTAACGTAGCGGTCGCGTTTCTGCCGCTTATAATAATTCTTATATAATGGCATCTCGATGCATTGGACGCGCTCTAACAACAACATTAGGTCGTCGTATGAGCTTTCCTCCGCCTGAGTTGATCGTCGATACTTGGCGAGGATCTTGGAACTTTGGAAAAAAAAGTCGAGAAATATCCTCGTTGATACAACGCCGTGATAAATGAAGCGAGGAGAAAAGAAAGACGATGTCACCGGTAGTTTGCGTGAAAAGTGGACGGGTCTTAGGTTATGGCCGCCCGTTATCGTTAATAATGCGTGTTGTGCTTATCGGTCTTTTAAAATGGCAGTCATTTGCCGTGAAAAATAAAGGAGAACAGAGCCATTGTGTTTTCCTTTTTTCATTTTCGCGACGAATCACTTTATTCTCCTACGGTTATTTTTGATACGTGAAGAATTACGATTTGAAGAGATTTTCCCGAATGAAATTTCGACTCTTAATTCCCGACAAAATCCTTTACACTTGAACGCGCAGAATTAACTCGTTTAAGGCACAGAATGCATCGTATTTAACGCTTGAAGTTTACAGTACAAGTACTTTATTTATAGCGTAGTGTCGTAAAGTTTGTCTCCGATAAATTTCAAGCATACTTTTTCCCTTAGCAGCTGTTAACTTAGTTTTCAAATAAAAAGGGTTACTCTGTTTTCTTGAAATATACGTAACGAAAATTGAACAAACGAAATCACAAATGAAACGTGCAAATGGTTCTTTTTATTTTTAAGAAGCTATTCGACGAATTGAATCAATTAAGCGTTGAAAATTGCTACGAAAATACAGATTTATTTCTGTCTACCTTGACAATTATTATCTTGTAAAGCACGAGACGGTAGAACTGCAAGGAAACGTGTTTATTTTCAGACGAATTAAAAGCATTCCCGCAATCCAAATTTCTCGACGATCGATTTATCGATGACGGTCAGTCATCGTCGAGAAATATCGCTGTGGATTTTTTTTTATATTGCGAAAATTACATCACCAACGAGGCGAGCTTATTTTTGCATACGTTTCATTTGTTTCCTTGTTGGTGATTTCAATCGTAAAAAAAAGAGCAGCTAGAAATTCAGAGAGACGTAAAATTTAGCGATTTCAAAGGGAATTTAAGCGGAGTACAAACATTA